TTTTTCTCTTGGAAAATGATCGAAATTTTTCCGGTTGTCGTGAACAAGAGAGATTTTATTAGGTAGCGTTCGTCCTCTGGTAGCGTTCGTCCTCTGAGCGTTCGTCCTCTGATAATTGCTTGTTAAATGTGCTAATTTTCAACTACCAGCATAGAGATGTTCTCAATCAGCTACCAGACGCTCGCTCTCATCAGACGGTCCCAGTGTTCGTGAGAACAGTTTTGCGAACTGAGAACACACTTGTTCGCAAAAGAATTACACTCTCGTATAAGCTGGATTAACAGAAATAATTCTCTACGCGTCAAACACGAAGGCAACATTTGCTATACCCGCTAAATATACATAGCCCTGTAATTCAACATTAGTCCTCTGATTTGGTTGGTATTGGCCTACAATATAACAAATGTTATAATTTTGGCCTACTACATAACAATATAAGAAACAAAATAAACAGTCATTCATGCGTTTCAAATTGAAGGAAACTGCACGCACATTTCTCAGATTCAGTGCAACCAAATGCTGAGAAATTACCGAAACTCAGTCAGAAAAATATTGGGTAGAATCTACGAAAAATATCTACTACCAGTTGGTTGCGATACAGTTTACACGATCATGCTGGATGTGGTGAGCCGATTATTCGCACTTGAGATTCACTATTTCAACCACACTTATTCATTAACTTATGAATTAATACACTTCACACGGACGGAATCATTTGAAAATTTATAATACTTGAGTTACTAAAATTAATTCAAATAATCCAAATAATTTTCGTGCACTTAAGTATAAACAAAATCGGAGTTGGAATATTGCGATTTGGAAGCTCTGGCTTTCGCGGAAGACCGTTTATCATAGAAATGATAGTTTATTATTAGTTTATTATATAAATAATCAAGGCGATCGGCCCGACAATGACTCGAGGAGGCACAAGGAAGAGCAGCACGACGTCAGCCAGGAACTGTCGTGATGGTCCAACTTTGGGTAGAATCAAAGCACTCCCCCGTGCATTGACTGCGCCATGTCGATGCAGAAGAGACATTTACCTGAGAATACACATGACTTTTTCAGTCATCAGAAAAAAATATATTGTATAAAGTTATGTTTTCAAAGCTACAGCCTAGTTTTTTGGGAATGAAAAGAATGAATTGAGTCATAACAATTTATGCTCGTCTCTCGGTTGTTGTTAAAATCTTATGGACGCTGAGCAGGTCATGGAGCAGCTGAAGGGAAGCTCCGAAATCATAAAGCGCATTAAAATAATTATATTACTTTTCTGATGTAGACGTGAATAGTTATGTGCCATTGGGCAGATTGTAATAAATCATATAAAACTTATTGCGAAAATCTGTAATTCTTTAGCTAAGGGCCTAAAATACTCTGGCATGCTCGACGCGATCAGCTCGATTTGATCAGCTCGTCCTCGATTTACTTGTCCATAATTTGGCTTAGTACTGATCAATAAAAAATTAATTAAATTAATTTATCTTCAAAAGAGAAGTAAAAAATACCATCTTTTATCTTAATCTAATGTTCACAGTGACAATTTTATAACTAAGCTAAAATAATTTATAATAAAGCCATAAATAACAAGTATAAATGTATTAAAATAAGGGTCAACAAACTACAAAAAATAATATAACACAACTTATCATTTACTTCAAAGTGTCACTGACCCTGAGGCTTGTACTCGAGATGCTCCTCGATGAACTGACAGAGGCACTGCAGGGCGGCACAGTGCCTGGGCGACGTCCTCACGAGGGGCGGCGGGGCAGCAATCATGCCCACAACTGCCATGTTAAAATAAATATTTTGATATGGCAGTTTAAAATATCCTTTGATAAGGACATTTCCCAGTGATTGCGATCATCGTAAGAGCTGAGAACGTTGCAAGGAATGTGCTGGTCGTTTGAGTTAACTGCACAACAAGCATTTGTTCTCTGACTGTACAGAGCGATGTCACAGCGAAGCCTTCAATATAAATTAATAACTCATAAGCTACACATTTCCTTTATACTGCAAGACATTCAGAAAATTATATTCAATGTAATGTTGTGCAATATAATGCATCAACTGGCCAATATTCTTAATCTGCGAGCCATCTCTACTTTCGTATATTTACATTAGAAAGGCTAATGTTATTTCTCTTCTTCCGAGCGACGCACCGTCCTCAGGATACTTACGAAGATCTGGCAACCAATTGCCGAATTTCTAAGGACTTCCTAGGATAGACTTAAGTTACTCTTTAGGTATTGAGTTTTTAGTTCTTGAGTCTTGGTTAATTAATTAATCTCTTTGCTTTGTGCCCGTTGGCCTCTATTACCTGACTATGCTTTTGATTCGCTTTCTGAGACAGTTAACTGATTAACTAGTACTTTAGTAACTTTAAGCTTTGTTCCTACTCTGCTGATTAATATTATTGATAACTTCTCATTCAGTATTTTACTTGTGTCGAGAACCATGGGTCTAACACGTTCACCTTAACGTAATCATACTTGCATCTAATTTTAAGTAGAGAACGATTCATCTTTTTCCACAGGGCGACGTGTCAAATATTAGTTAACGTTTTCAAGCGTTTTCATATTAGTGTAAAGTGACACACTGTCTTACCCACAGCACGAACTGAGAGTAAACGTATGACCGAGAGGCCCTTTTGTCGGACCAAACTGGGCACAAGGGCAAAAAATGCATCGCTGTATGGACAAAGTCCCATTCATTTCTCTGATTGTAGGGATCAATTAACCACTAACCAGCTGAGCGTGTCGGGTTGCCTGCTGGGTCACCGGACAGACGCAGGCGGTTCTGGCAGACCGACTTGACCCAGCGCTGGGAGTACCGCGCCAGCAGCCGGCATTTCAAGTCCTGCCGAGAGAACCGTGTTGTGAGCGATGTTTTAGAATTGTTTAGAACTGAAATGATCTGAGCGAATTGTTCAAACCAAACAATAATCACGCTGATAAAAGGAAGCGGTGATGCACACGTTGTGGTTAAATTTGGATTGTACTGACTTCTGTAAATGTTTTAGACCAAACAAAAGATACGAAGATAAAGGAAAGTTCAACCGAATATCAGCCTTAGTCGATAAAAATCTGAGGTGGTCTTTGCGTTTGTTGTGCAAGTAATCGTCTCGTTTAGCTCTTAAATTCAGTCAAATATTGAGACGTGAAAATTTCAGTTTTGTGGAGAAATTCTGCCAACACTTGACGCTCCTGTGATTCATTTACCCCGAGTTAAAAACGGATTTACCTTTTAGTTCTGCTACTAGTATGGTAACGAGGAGAAAACCCCGAAATGAAGAATGATAATCCAAAATTCAATAACGAACGTTAATGTTCAAAAATAAAAGATTTAAATCTGATACAAAGGAGGTCTTCGTTGGAAGATCTTAAATTTTGGATATTTTGAGTACCATTTAATTTAAACAAAATTTAAATTCTCAGCCTTAACTACGAAAACTGACTGAAGTCGCTAGCGTTTTGTGATGCGAGTGAAATTGCGATGTCATGCCCCAGTTGTTTGAGCGACTTTGGTATGACAGAATAGTTCGCACAGGACAGCCTGACTGATAATAATTTTGGCACTACAGATATCATAGTTACGTCACCTCTCCGCCCTCCCAACCAAATCACAATCATTAAGCCAAACATTAATGATATTCTCACCTGGACATCCTGTGAATACATACGTGCGACTGCGTGCCCGACACAGCACTGCAGTTGGGGCTGTATTGTGCACTATAACTTATCTCTATTTGCAATGTGTAGTAAAGTTTCTAATGAGTGATTCATGAATTAAGCGAGTACAAGTGGGCCGTTATTGCCACTATAATTTATCCCCATTAGATATTTGTATGTGGTAGGTTTCGAGTTATTCACGAATTAAACAAGTGAGGTAACGTCAATTGTTTATTGCTTGCCTCAACTGAAGACCACAACACAAAGCTTTGCTATCATAATTTATCAATCAATTCTCAACAATTGAAATAAAACTGCCGTGGACAAAAGGTTCAAGTTTCAGACTATTACCTCCATTGAATTAGATTCTAATTGCTGATATGTTCAGTAAAATTATGATGCTCTGACACCTTTAAACCAATTATATACAGAATTGGTTTGCCTTAAAATAGCAATAATTAATGGGATTGTCTGATTGCAATAATTAAATGGAAGAGCATAGAGAAAATATCAATAAAACATCGAAAACTATTGATATTGCCTGGATTGACACGTCGAAATCAATGTAACCACAATTGCTATGAACTATGAAAATTTTGACTTAGGTGCCACAGAGCACAGAAGTAAAATTAAAAAGTCTAATCTTAAAAAAAATGTATCCATGTGACTCAAAGCCATAAATAAAATTAAACTCGGCTCGAACCAATAAAAATTTGACCCTTTTTTTCATGAGCAAAAAAATTAAACTGAACTCAATTCGACCTTTAAATAGGTTTACCCTGTAGTTTTCACTAATTAGGATATATTGTATAAGATGATAGCCCGAGAACCTCTGACGAGAGCGCCTATACCAGCTCGTTAAACTCTTTGCTGGCAAGTGTCAGTAGCAAATCACACAGTATTTTCAAATACGCATTATGCTCAACAATAATAGTAAATAGATAATATTTCATTGAACGTCACAAACCGTTAATAAAGAATAATTAAATACTATTGCACTACACAGGGGAAGACGGAAATAAAATTGGAAATGTAAGAGAATGGATATTATACACCATCAGAAAAAAAACGGTGAAAAAACGGTCCCACTGGCTTTCTAGTGGCCGGTAACTCCGTGAAAATAAACTGTTTCGCCGTTTTTATCAGATGTTTTACGGATTTCTAATGTTAAATTGGAATAAAAACGGTGACACGGTGTTTCTTTTACGGTGTCCGACCGGCCACTGAAACGACGGTAATACCGTTAACGGTCATTTTTCTAACAGTGTAAATTATTTCAATAATTTTAAACATTTTAATTAAAGAGAAGAAATTTTCAAAATAAAGTACTAAGCTCTAAAACCTAGCTTTTTCTGTCTCGTTCAGTTAACAATATCCTCTTACACTTCATTTAACGAACAACTTGGCACCCGACAATTCGCAAATCCCATTCGTAAATATCCTTGGTGCAGCAAATTCTGTCCAGCGAACTCTTTACATGATTACTCACATAGGTTTAGTTTAAGGCAGCTTGCATTTAACAAGTTCACTTCATCCTTATCTCTTAAATAAACGTGCATGTGACGACTCCTTCGGAATCTAAGTCTCTTAGACTTATTCAAATTCAACCCAAGTATAAGTAGACAATATTTTATAATACAGAAACTTCTCTACAATAAAATATTAGACTAAGATTGACGATTGCTTTTCAGACGAGCGGCCGTAACTTATAACACGTAACCTAGACTTATTCACTAACGCTAATACTTAATTTATAAGGCATATGAATGGACGGACTACATTACATGTAAAACTAAGATTCGCGTAGAACTCACGCTTGTTTATTGCTCATGTTCTCAACATCGTGTTTTATGCAAATTGCAAACGCATATACATTCCATCGTTTTTCAACAGCATGTTTATTGTTGACAATCACTGCTACATATTTATTCCTTCTTATTCTAACAGCATGTTTATTGTTGACAATCACTGCTACATATTTATTCCTCCTTACCCTAACAGCATGGTTATCGTTAATTGGCATTCCGTGCAAAATATTGTCTCCGGAAAGTGCAGTAAATTTTTGTTCTAATTTAGCCATTCAGTTTATCAATGAAAGATGTACACATGATCAATTGTTTACATTGTCTTAAATTGTGTTGCCTCTATTTATACAGCGTGTGAACAGCAGCAATTTGTTCAAGATATTGATTTGTTCCTAATTAATTAGACTTTGTAACCCTAATCTTGTGAAAGTTATTTTATTTTATTTGTATTTTAAAAACATGCTTATTGTTGGCCATACTGATAATACAACTTAATGGTTTGTTTACATTTGCATGGTCAGATATTCTGGCAAGTAAAGCTGAAGTGTGACTATTTAAAATAATTACTTACTCTACATATAGCAGAATAATTTACATAAAAGCATCCATTACATACTTCCATATTTCATTTAAACAATTGAAGCAATTTTTAGCTAGCAAAACAAAAAGATAAAGCTATTCACGACCTCCATTACCTTTAAATCATTACGCATAAAATTGACGCTCGCTGATTATCAAGAAGAGGTCGGGGTAGCCTGGTAAATGACGAGCCTATTAACAAGGCTTTTTAACAACGCACAATATATCTGGATACATCGACATGATCTGGGCTCTCCACCACCGATATGCTGGACTTGCATCGCAGAGCCGATGTGTTTTTTTAATAATCGGTTAGAACAAATTCAAATCTATCTAATTTGACCGAGCATTGATCGCCATATCAGATCTTTCTCATGTTATATCAGATCAAGATCAGATCCGTCGAGCTAAGGCACAGGTACAGGCTTGGCCCTGTGTAATACGCTAGGTAAGCCATGCCAAACACATTCACATACTTCGTTTGTTAGATTTGCAGCTTCACTAAATAGAAGATCAAGACTTAACTTCCAGCACACAATACATTAATTTGTCTATGAATGGTCTTCCTAAATTATTGTACCGGTTTTAATAATTATTATTTAGTTATATGTAATAATATTGAATGGTTTTACAGTAATAAATTGACATCAGGCGATAAGTCAGACAAAGTCTGACTTTGTTGGACTGTATAGTTCGCCTCGGTAATACATTGAAACAAATCAAGACAATCCTCAATATAAACCTTTCTTTTTATTTGTTTTGGAATGCAATGGCAAGTTTCACCTTTAAATGGAATATTTATGTTCAGCATACGTTCTGCTTTACAATGTTTTCAGAGGGCTTCGACCTCCCTGAAGAAGCTGCGGATGGTGCCACAGCACCCGGAATTTTTCGAGGCAAGTTCCTTTTGTTTGAGCAAGTCTTTGAGGCCGAGGTGGCTCTCGATGTACTGGCAGAGGCAGCGTGCAGTGCTGAGGTGACGGGGGGGCGTTGGGGGCGCCAGACCCTCTACCCGGGCGAGGGCATCGAAGGCCCAGTCAAGCCTCTTCCTGAGGTAGTTCTTGGCCCAGCGCTGACTGTACCGAGCGAGCAGCAGCAGCGAGCGGTCCTAGGGGGAAAGGCGTGGCGTCTCACATCTTTGTCCTTTCCTTACAAACTCTTATAATAAATGTTCTTATATACGCTTAGAAAAATGAATGGGTCAGAGTGTCCAAATATTGACTGACAGGCATTCTTAACAAACTAAAAAAGTGGACGTAGCCGATACGCCCTTTTGGCATACCAAACTGCTGCAAAATGACCTAAACATGGGTAAAAGAGCACCGCTATTTGGACAATTTCTCACTCTTTTCTCTGAGTGTATAATGGTAGATTCGGTAGATTAGATCTAGCTTAGATTAGGTCATGTTGACAGGCGGCCGATTCTTAGCGCTCCGGCCACCTTGCCGATTTTCCCCATTATTTGTCACAACCAGTCGCGGGTTTGAACCCTGAACTCGCTGCTCCCCGTCTGCTATAATTTTAATCACTCGGCCCGAGTTCTGCATAAAATTACGTAGATTGGTTCAGTTTACCTTGAACTACGTAGTAGACGTAACGACTACCAATGCATTTATTTTGTTGAATGTTTTCCTAATTGTTAATTTAAATAATGTTTCTTATCTTAATATATTCATTCAATGGTAAAGGCTCTCTTGACTTTAATTTATGTTAGTTTAACGAATGCGATGAGGTTTATGTTTGTCGTCACATGCGTGCGCTGGCCTTTGCATTTCAAGTTGATTTTTGGTGCACCGTGTTTCCTGAACACTTCAAGACGCCAGCTACTAAACAAAATTGTATTGCACTAAGCAAGTGCGTTCTATGACATAAACCTAAAGTTATCACAAGACGCTCAGTTGAGAAAAAACTCCTTTGAACAACACTCACGATTTGGGCAACAGAAAATCAGCAGTAGTCATTTTCCACTGATGGCAATCCAACAATTTACACAAGCAACACGAACACAGTTACAATAGACAGCAAAATCATACCGGTCACAGAAAGCTCCTAATTATATGCATTGCATGCGCACTACAGCTCGGCATGCGCCACATAGACTTTTGCAAAAACAAATGTGCTTACTCGTAGATGCGCTTTGTTGGTTACTATAAGCCATTGTTAATGTGTATGAACAATGGAATAACTAAGATTGAATTGAGGTGAATATTAGTACAGCTTGTTGATTGTACTCCTAACACTTGTCTTCTAGTGAGCTAATCCAACGAGTGCCGAAGCGATCTAACGCAGCGGTCCCAAGCTGTGATACGCGAGACTCTACAGTGCGATGTGTGGGAAATGTTGAGGTGAAAATGGCTACAACATTGACATTGGACAACGAAAACGGCTTCAACATTGACATTGGACAACGAAAACGGCTTCAACATTGACATTGAACAATAAAAGTTGTACGATATTCACTGCCAGAAGCATGTAGAAATTCTCGTACATAATTTGTTGTACAATTGCTTAATTTATTGATAGACAAAATTAAAAGTTAGCAACTATGGTGACTTATTCGGAACATATTGAAGCGTTCATGTATTAGTTATTTATGGAATTATTTGAAAATGTTCCGTCAATTTACCCTAAAAATAAGACAAGTACGAATGGACGAATTGTCGACAGGGTAACAACATGTGAAGTAAGAAGTAATGCATGTAATGGTAATAACACAGATAAAAACCAATAACAATAATGAAGCAGTTCATATTAATGAGAGTAAAATTGACCATAATTAAAAGTTCAGAGAAATATTAAATCAGGATTTGAAGTGCTTACACCGTGCAAACAAAAAAGTAGATGAACATAACTCGCTTTGAACAGCCATAGATCATTCAGAGCAACGACTTTACGCGAGAAACTCGTCAAAAACAAAACCCAACTGCAGGGTGCCTCTTACGTTACCTGGTCGTCCCGTGAGGATGATGTCACGGGATGGTGGTCCCCGAGATGATGTTGTCACGGGAAGTTACCTGGTCACGGGAGATGCGGGTGATGGTGGCCCCCGAGATGATGATGTCACGGGAAGTTACCTGGTCACGGGAGATGCGGGTGATGGTGGCGCCTGAGATGATGATGTCACGGGAAGTTACCTGGTCACGGGAGATGCGGGTGATGGTGGCCCCCGAGATGATGATGTCGGGGTCATCGATGTCCAGGCGACTCTGCAGGGACGGCCGCTCGCCTGCTGCGCCTGATGCAGCAGCTGCAGCTGAGCTGCGCGTGTCGTCGTCGATCAGCTGCTGTAGTTTCGTCTGCAAACATTCTCAGCTGCTGCAGTCAGACTGTGATGTTTTCTTAAGAATTAAATATTAAACTAAACAATTATACATAACAATACATTCCTTAATTTGATCACTCAGAACACGAGAGCTTATGCCAACCTAATCTCTATCTGTAGTAAGTATAAATGATTAAGCAAATAAATTAAATAAAATAAATGGTTTAATCTAAAGCCACAAACATAATTCATTCTATCTCTCAATAATTACGATGCTTTAAGAAGCCTGCAGCACACATTATAATATTTATTATTATTAGTAATATCTATTAGTGCTACGCTCCCACAGGTTCCCACAAGGCAAACATTGATTTCTAATGATGATATTAAAATTGTTATGTGTTCTCACGTTAAACATTAGTTAATAATAATATTTAGCACTGTAGGGTTCTCACGAGACAGTCGGTGGTGTCGAAGTAGATGAAGCAGAGGTTGACTTTATGGCAGCTGAGCTTACCGCGGTCGTCCAGACCGAGCAAGATCTTGTGCTTCATGAGCTGCAGGTTAATGCCGGCCATGCAGCGCTCTAGTCCACGGTTCAGCTGACATATTATAAACTGTTATTATACACAGGTATACGGGAATATAGAGAAAAAATATACAGACCATTCCACGTATATAAATAATAAAAGCTATTATTACCGCCTCGAAATATAATGATAACACAAATTATTATTAGTGCCTCGAAATATACTCTGATTTTTTATTCTTCTATTCAATATAGTATGAAATAGCATTGAGAATGAGAATTTTACTGTAATTATAGAGCGGCGTGCGGCAGCAAGCGCACGAGGCCCTCACTATGAAAGCATCACACTAAGTATCACCCTCAGCCTGCAAGTATACCTCAGAGATGGCCTCACTACCTAACTTCAAGTATCCAATTCACCCCTACCTTACTCCACTCACCTCCACATCACCCCACTCACCTCGACCTATAAGTCCCCACTCGTCTAACCTCACCCCACTCTCATCACAAGCCCCCACTCAACCATAGCTCACCCCACTCGCCCTTAGCCTACCCCACTCAACTTGAGCTCACCCCCACTCACCCTCATCACCCCACTCACCCATAGCCCACCCCAATCAACCTTAGCTCACCCAATCACCCTTAGCTCCCCCACTGCCCCACTCACCCTTATCTCACCCTTAGCTCACCCCACTCACCCTTATCTCCCCCTACTCCCCCCCACTCACCCTGATCTTGATCCACATGCATAGGAATATGGCGGCGGCGTTAAGAAGGAGCCAGGCGATGCCAGCACCGAAGAGCTCGAGCTGCTTGCCCCCCGAGAAGAACAAGATGCAGAGCAGGATGAAGAAGCCCAGGATGATCCAGGCGATGACGATCCTCTTGTAGCAGATGTTGAACAGCTTGAAGCGCTCGTCGTTCACGAGTTGTGTCATCACGTGCACGTAGTCCTCCACCGTCAGCTGCGGTCAGCAATTAGTCGGAAAATTTAGCGTATTTACGTTGATGATACAGAAGCCGAACCAATCAATGAAAATAGTTATACATAGGTTTGTAGCTCCGTCAGCCAATCACTGACGGCTTTTCAAGCTAAACCAACCAATCATAGACGAGAAATCGTCTACTTAAGAAAGTTTTCATTGTCGTAGTTTTAATAGTTCGACGGCGACAATCATATTAATTATATCGAACAGTAGCAGTGACAATAAATTATCATTCGATCCATTCCCCCAGATAAATGATTTAATCTAACATTTTTAAATAAATTATACTGCAGATGAATAAATCAATCAATAAATAAATTTATTAAATTAATAAACAATAAATTATAATTATCGCTGACCGTGAGCCCTTGTGCCATGAGCTCCTCAGGCACGAGCTCCGGCCTGAAGGTGGCGGGAGTGATCCACGCCATGTGCGTGTTCTGCGGCAGCAGCGTCACGATCACGTCACCGTTAGCTAAATAAATAGTGAATAAAAATAAATAAAGTCGAACGTCGCAGTTAACTATAGGATCACGTCGCCGTTGGCTACGGAAAATGAATGAAGAAAAAGATATGATTTTGTGACACGATCACGTCGCAGTTAACAAGAGAAAATTAATGAACAAAACTGTATGATCTTACGTCACGATCATGTCACCGTTAGCTGCACAAATAGTGAATAAAAATGTAAGATCTTGCGTCACGGTCTAATCAGATAAAAAATGTTAAGCATACCTATGACTAAAATTATGTAAGAAATTTACTTATTGAGATGGAAGAAATGGTTATAAACTCCCGTGAATACTAATTTATGAATAAAGCAAGGAAATGCGCAGTCGCTAGATAAGTGGATGGAAACTGGTTTTATATAATTACACCCAATAAATGGAAAATTTTTAGCCATTTCTTGGGAACATGATGGCTGCTCGATAATATTAATTCTTATTATTGTTAATGATAAGGAAACCTTAAAGGTTTTGTATAACATTGAGATGCATTAACATGAGAGACAAGATTTTTTTCTGACAGTTATTAATAAATTTCTTTTCCAAGATCGCATTCATAACCCAAGGCTTGATTTAGCATAAGCTGTTTCAACTACATCTCGATTATTCTAATACGTTATTATAATTTCGATTATAATAATCGTGACTATCATATTTTTAATGCTTATTTAATTCCAGTTTAATAAATCGTTCATGTAAATATTGATCAGTATTAAAATGTTAGTATATCCAGTATAATAATACATAATATTATTGATTATTAATTAACAATTATATCTCCATACAATATTGGTATATTATAATAGATTATCTCAGTTCCAGGACAGAAATAACTAATAAAAATAACACTGACCAAAGCCTTGTCTGATGGGGGAGGTGATGGGTGTAGGTGGGGTGATGGGGGCCTCGGACAGTTGGACAGTGTGCAGGGTGCCCACTGCTGACGAGGGACTTCTCAGCGCACTTGATATGGGCTGCTCATGACGCATACGTGGTGTCAAGCAGAGAATTTTATTTGCAATATGGGTTAGGTTCTCAGAAAGCGTGAATCAAATAAGCTAATATCGATTACATTTTTCATAAGCGAAGTGCAAAGCACATTTGTGTTGTTATAAAAGCACCTGATTGTATTGGTTACGAAAGAATTTACATTATCATGGGGTTTGATAAGTAATAGTACCAGTGCAGAATATATTCATGATACTTACAGACGCGGGATGATTTCTCTACACACAATATTCGCATATGGATATTTACGAACAATGCCATAGAGTCTCTTAAACCTCGAGGATTACATCTATGAAGCACGTCATCAAATAATCAAATATAGTTGATCACATCTCAGTGAATCAACTTTTAATAGACTCTATAATATATCACCCGAGGTTTTCCAGAGAAATTATTCATAATTTTTCCCGGGGCTTCAAAAAATATGTATATATAAAATATTTTTGAACCATTTCATGTGCTATAAACCGAGTTCCGGGTCTATGACCAATCTCACTATTGAAGACAACTATTGCGTGGTACGAATTTGTATTAAATATTATATGATTATAGACTACTGCGTATGTCGCAGCAAGCAACGTGCCGTGGTGTTCAGTACACTCACAGTTCACAGTGGGATAAATATGCTACGATTCGATTGCCAAACAATTGACTGTCTAATTTAGACCGCAATATGAGCTTCACTTTTTGGCTGGTGTAAACTGACTCGTACCTTCAAGGCGGGAATTATACTGTTTAGAACTTTTGGCTTAACAAAGGCTACGATTCAACTATCCAAGTATTGAACTTTCCAGTCCGCAACTTGTACAAATTGTACATACCGAATTTAAAGTTTTAGCAAACTATTCGCATAGTTTGCTAAATAAATGGTATACATTCATGCTATTCATTTATTTATTCTCAACTATTCATCTCTACGTTCATGGTATAATAAAAGAATTATTACGCAGGAGATCACAATGCGAATAATAATTATGGCTACTAGGTTATATTTATAGTTATAATGAAGTAGTGGAGGTGAAGATAGCGTATACCTGCGCGCTGCCGTTGCTGGCGTGAGGCTCGGACACGGTCCTGGAGGCCGCCCGTCCTGTCCCCAGCGACACCTGCTCGTCACACACAGCTCATACACAGACTATACAGAGAATACGTAGCTAATACATGGCTTATACTACTCGTACACAGCACACAACAGAACTCATAATACGCCCACCACAAGCACGCTCATACATTGCACAAATAGCTCATACAGAGCATATACAGAGCTCATACTGACCATACAGAGCTGCTCTGTATGCTCTGTACACCTCTTTACCATTACAGGTAAAGAGGTGTAACAAGTTACAGGTAAAGAGGTGTAACAAGTTGCTGGTAGAGAGATGTAACAAGACATAGGAGTTAATAATAGTAACACAGTAATAGCCCAAGGACTTGCAGAAAGAGGCCTGCTGATCACATTTCTTCTGCTCAGAATTACATCTCACGTTTCATGGCATGAACGTTGAAATTATAGCGTCAATATGGGTAATAATATTTTAAATATCCCAAACTGAGTAATGATGTGAGTAATGATATGCATGATATCCCTAACTGAGTAATCATATGAGTAATATGAGTAATGATATGTTCAATGCCCTAAACCAGGAGTCACCAAACTTTTTTCACAGTGGGCCGGATAACTGAAAGAATGACGAGCACGGCCGCATAATCATTCTGTTCAATACTTGCAAGCCGGAACGAAAGCTCTGGGAAAAAAGACGAAAAACTAAGTTCAGCATTCCATGTTAATCAAAAAACAAAGACAACCAACATTTTATTTACTGAAAAGTTTTCAAAGAAGGCGACGTAAGCAAAAAGATAGTTACATCAAACCTATAGTGTGCGCATATCCGAATCTCACAAACTAAACAGCAAAAAAGGTTAGTGAGATTTGTGAAACTGACGTTTGGCTTTCAAAATATCATCAATATTTTGTTTAGAATTGCTGTATCCAATCAAGAGAATATATAGCTTTCAAATGTTCATCAGGCAATCTCGTTCGACGTGTTGACTTCACATACTTCATTTTTTTAAATGTTTGCTCACTGACATAAGTTCCAAACACTGATGCCATACCAGCGGCAAATTTCTTCAATTTCGGAAACTCAGGATCAGGTAAGCAGCGGTAAAATTCGACAAGTTTTCCTTCTCTGTGCTTCTCTTTCAACAAGTCATTTGCTTGCAAATCAATGAGCTCCAACTGTAGTTCAACTGGCACATCATCAAGGTTACAATCAAACGGATTCTGTAACAGAATAATGTCACTCTCAGTTCTGTCGAGATTTGAAAATTTCTCCAAAAAAAGCTTCAAGTCACGAATAATCTTTTTTAGAAAATTGAGCTTGACATCTTCAGCAATTGAAGCGCAAAACTCTCTGAAACAGTGAAAATGAGAGAAGTTTTCTCTTTCCAGTTATGCTTCAAACAATGACAGCTTTCTCCGAAATCCTTGGATGATTCTGTAGAGATCACAGATTAGGTTATCCTTTCCCTGTAATTTCAAGTTCAGTTTATTCATGTGGGATGTGATGATGACCAAAAAAGATAACTTTGACAGCCAGAACAGCTGTGGATCGGCTCAATCTTTTTCAGTGAGAAAAACATCTATTTCGTTTCGGAGCTTGTAAAACGGAAATAGGACTTTACCACAGCTGAGCCATCTCACTGCTGTGTAATAAGGCAAGTCACAGAAATCAGAATCAATTTCTTCAAGAAAAGCAAAAGCATCAAGCAAATTAAAGTACCGAAGACGGGCCTGATGAACTGACGTCGCGGGCCGGATTCGGCCCGCGGACCGTAGTTTGGTGACCCCTGCCTTAAACTAAAGCGAGGTTATATCAACAATCCACACCTGCACGGCGTGCGCGTCGATGACGGCGGCAGCAGCGGTGGCGGTGGCGGCCGCTTTGGTGGGGGGCGGGGGGAGGGCTGCTACCCCACTGGGGGAACTGGGGGCTGTGCAAGCATATCAATTATTAACACGATAAAATTATAACAATTACCTTAATAGTACAACTAATAACATGATAACTGATTATATTAGTACATATTAGTCTGCTACCTTCATTAGTATGTTTGAATCGCCGATTCACCAGGAATTTAAAATGGGAAGAAAACGCTCATTATATCTTAAATGAGAGTATTTTCATTAGAGAAAAGAGTATGATGAACTAGCTTGGCGTTCTCTTCGCTTTCAACGTTACTATGATTATGTCAACAACATACATGTGTAGCAAAGGTCATGGAAGTCAAGTAAGTGAACGCACCGCCGGAATTTATACAGAATTATGCTAACTAACATACTTGTTCCTCGCACAATCCTGACCTATATATACATCCGGCCCAAATACATCCCGCCATCTTCAGCTAATTACAATATAATAAGTCACAAACGTATAATATCTTTGAAGTTAAAAAAATTCGGTAGCTATCAAATTCAATATGGCTATGCAACTCAATTTTTTCGGGACAAATTTCAGGTAAAATATTTTATCTCCTTTGCAATTATTATTAGAAAAGAGCGATTAAATTAACTTTCTTCTTCAAAACTTCAAAATAAGTACAACTAATGCACCTGTTACTAGAATTTTCAACTTTTAAATTCGCAGCACAAATGGAACGAAACTTAAAGATAGTTTCGAACTTTTTCTAACATTTTAAACTGTAATTTAGGAGCGCGAAGTGCAGTACCTGTGGGGAGCTCCTGCTGAGGCCGCTCGTCGTTATCGAACTGTACCCACGACTGAGGGGGGGACGGGGTGGTGTCAGAGGTGGCGGGGGTGAGGGGGTGAGGTCCCCCTGGACCGGTAGACTGGCTCATTTCAGATCAACAGTACAAACTGGAAGAAAACATGGCAGTTAAGTTATATGATCTGCTTTCAAATGAGCGAGGCAGCAGTAACGTTCGATGATCATTAGTGGCTGAGGTCACATCTCAATGTCAATGTATAAATTATCATTAAAAATGCAGCTTGAGTTCGGTTTTCAGGATTCACACATCACCTTCACGTGAGTGTTCGCAAAAAATATTTAGTATCTTGTGACAAAAATTAAAAAAATTTCATGTTTATCGAGGTTTATGTTAAAATAACTCATACATTGCTGGAGTATCACTAAACCAAACCATGTGCATTGTTCTTTCACGTCAAGAAAAACAAGAAGGGTACAGCGAGTAAGCGTATCCCACTAGTTATTATACCCGCGCACGAACGCAGCCGACAAGTTGCACTATAAGGTTTGTTTACTCTAGCAGCTATCTAGGGCTGACTCTAGCCATGACGGCCAGGAAACGGTCACAGGAAAGCTATTGACTCACGGTCGCCATTGTGCAGCGCTAATAGAGAGTGACAAGAAATTATTTAAATAATTCAGAGTAAGTTTTCTTTAATTAAAATATATTTCAGAAGAAATAAAAAGGCAACAAAGTATCATCAAAGTGTTTTTTTTTTTCGTTTTTAAAGAGAAAATTTGCAATTTATTGGGGATTTATTAATTTATTTATTTACGCCATACAATATGTGTCTCTAAACATACTCCTATACGTATACTCTAAACAATTCTTTACCACCCCAGATAATCTGATATTTTTCTAAGGTTTTCGCTCCTTCCGTATTGTTAATTCATCCCTTTATCATCAAGTTTAAATTACTATTATAAACCTTCATCTTCTCTTTAAAAGACATAATCAATCATGAGAAATAGTATTCATTGTAAAATTTTTCTACGAACTAAGTTACATCACCTGGTTAATTACCTATAGTTTAGTATTCATAATTGCTAAAATTATTCTGCTCTTCATTGCAAATCAGTTTCAGCGTCACACTAAATTATCTTTCAGATCGATAACCTATGAAATTAATCTCAACTTTGTGCTCTCTCATAGAAATTGTTCACGTGATATTTACCGTAGTACAAATTGAAGAGTACGGACAATGTCGTACGGACAAAACAATGTCATTTAAGTCGTAACAAAATACGTGTCTTGTATCATCAGACATGTTAATCGATATAAAAGAGAATATGCATCCGTCTGGCTAATCATATTATAATTATCAGCGTTTAGTAATTTAAATCTTGAATAAATTATTTTCGTTTTCAATTTTATTTCCCTGATGATGGTTTTGGAAAGCAGAGACGGAATGTGCGCTTAATTAAAGACGCATTGAAATATTGCAGTCCTCAAAATAAGAAGTAAGTTATCTCTTCCAAAAGTATGAAAACCTGGAACTTTAGTTGGATTTTTTGACATATTGAATAGCTTGAATCATTCAATAAAGTAACGAAGGTTATTAGCTACGGTACCACGACGAAAGTCAACAGGATCTACAATGAAATGTTGACGACAATTTCATTGAGAATTTCATTTAATTATCTCTGTCTGAGCATATTTCTGTGAGTCTGAATATTATATTAATAACAAAACTCAAGGTCAGTTTCGGTGCCTTACCCGTCCAGTATCGCGTTGGTTGAAACTTGGAAGCCGTTGGTTGAAACTTGGAAGCTACCGTAGTTATTTTTAAAGATCATTACTCACCTGCCAATCACATAAAGCATTTAAGAATGCAGTAGCAAATTCTTCATTGATAAAAAGAACTTATCTCAATATAAACTACTAAAATCTGGTCAGATTAAAGCAAAAAAAAATAAAGAACATAAATTGAGCATGGACGCTCAGTTGCACACACAGGAACACCTGCCCTGCAATCACTGGAATTACAGGTAACAGTATAGACTTTCCAAAATAATAACTTCCCAAAAGTTGGACATTTTATTTATTTCGAAAATTATTGACATTTTCTTACAAGAATATAAAACTTTTAAAATATACAGTAAACGAAATTTAGCTTTTTATGCATTTTTCCTCGCACAATTCTCAAATGGCTTTGAAATAAAGTGTTAGATCGTATGTAATGATCGAACATAGAGAATCAAGCGATATAGAATCGAAAACCTATTTACAACCAGCGCATGTTTGAGTCAGAGTGAGCGCTGTTGTTATTGCCGCATTTGCCGGAGTGTCGAAATTAAGAATAAATAACGATTTTCATGATGGCCTATTCTGAATATTTTAAAGTCTTCATTTATAATATGCGTATAATTTTACATTTTATGATTTTATATCATCCGTTGTGAAGATATGAATATGTTATATGCAGCGCCTATCAGGACTATGGGCTAAGCAGGCTAGCCCTTGCGCTTGCCGCCTTGCGTAGATCGGTAGATTAAGCTGCATTAAAATATTAGCAAAATCACAATTTGTTCTTCTCTTCAATTTTTTATTTTAATTCCAATGAGATAAATTTTTTTCTCTTTGAATATTTATTACTGCAAACTGCAAAGTGCAAATTAGAGCACAGAGTGTTTAGAAATTAGAATCATTTCATTTTTAATTTCCTCATGTACTCAAGATTTAAGCCAATTTCTTAAGTGTGATAATACTGGTATCCATGATACTTTACTCTTACTGGTCTACTTATAAGACTTAAAAATGAACTTGAGTGAGAGTCTAAAAAAACTCTCTGCTTTGCCACTATGGAGTATGGACTATGCTGGCACCATGCCATCACACACAAACATATATCTGCATCAAGTTGACTAGAATTCTATTGTACATTTGTACTAACCCAGGTTCTAAGAGTCGGCACAGTTATGAATATTTATTCATTATTCATAGATCTCAATTTGGTTAGACATGAATTACAAAACTGAAGAATAGAAGGCAACAATCAACATTGCTTGAGATCGGTGCCTTCTAATGAAAGACTGTTTTTGGCAAATAGTACAGACCCGTATGTCAATGTCCAAAATATGTTCTGTGCCCGACATCTGCTAGGCCGGCAGGCCGGTAAAATGGGTTTGCGCCGCATAAACCCATTGAATAAAAAAATACAGGCACCAAAAGTTTTTGTTCAATTATCAGTTCTCATTTTTGCAACTCTAAAGGTTAATTATATAGACAAAAAACAAACATTAATAAAATGCAAATGGTTTCAATTTCAAGGGTACACATCACATGACATTGATGACACACAATGATGTATCAGTGTTACATACAAGTCTGTAGAGACAATGTTGCCATATCATCACATTGGGAATTTCTAATGACAGCTATGTCTAGACATATTTTATATACACATCACAATTAATTTAACATTACAATCAATTTGTAGGATTTTAAACTTAACATTGTATAAAATAAGTGACTTTGGAGCTGGATGTTCAAATGGACAATGGTATTTTTTTATCTTAGCTGCAAATTGAATTTTTCTAACATACGTATGGCTATGAGATTTTTGCTTGAGGAATTATCTATTTATTTGCCAATTAAAGTCAATAGTTCAGCTCAGCAGCAAATATTTTGATTCAGTCAAAAAGCTCATGGTTTGGTACCTTGTTCCTAACAAAATTCCCATTGCCATGAATTATTATTATTATTATTATTTTGTTACTCTTGTATTCTCAGTAAAATGTGACAACTTGCCCACAGCACTGAATCTACCGGTACGGTACTCAGTAACTTTGAAAAATGAATCAAATGTGTTTTAATGTCCCAACTTGTATCTAGAGGGAGCTGCAAAAAATATATTTTGCAGCATTTTTAGAGTAAAATAAAAATTAATGTAAAAGCCAGGGCTTGGAAAATGAGTTTGCAGCTTAACACATTGACTCCAAAGTGGTACATATGTGTACCATGAAATGTATTTCTCCAGGTACATAATTCAGGTTGCCTAAAATCGGCCAAATCCGAAAACAAAAAAGGCCGATAACTCAATATATATGGTCAAACGGGGTAAAAAGGGACGGTTTTGAGCATTTTTTGTTAACTTCTTACCATGAAACATTTCAGAAACAAATTTAGGCTCATTTTATAGCTCTTTGCGAGGGCTATCGAATGGCATCTTCAAAAAAATTCCATATGCTATTTGTAAAGCGCTAGACGCAATATAAAGGGCTCCTGAATTAATCTTGAAATGGGGTAAAAAGGGACACTTGAAATAAAACTCAATTTCAAACATTTGAAGCATGCAGAGTGTACTCATCTATTACTAACAGTACTCTGAAGTCTTCCTCTTTCATTGTAGATGATGTAGATGTAAAATAAATGACATTTTCTGTGATTTTTACTTGTTTTTCCTTTATTGATATGATATTACCATAATAATTAATTACCGTATTAATAATGTGATATAACTATATCCATGGACTTGGACATGCCATTGAGCATTGACAACGACCTTGTCCACTGCAAGCTTCATATCAGCAGCCATGTAGCATTTCTTCTGTATCTGTAAGCTTACAAGATGGTTTGTAATTTCGCACAATTTTAATTGAGTCTAGTGATTTCATTATAACAAAAAAGATCATGAAAAACATACCTGAAACAAAAAATAATGTTTTAGTAACAACATCATATGTTTTGAAGAAATAAATCATAGTTTAGGTCAATTACTGTAAAATGGGGTAACTTTGACCACTTTTCAAAATGATGCCATTTTTTTACTAGATAAGTTGAACTTAAATTGAAACATGCAAAATACAGGTCTATAGTCTAGCTTTACTCACCATAAATTGCTGGCTCCTGCCTCTCATAGTTTTGATGTAATTTCAAAAAAAGTGATGGTCTTTGTTACCCCAGCTCTTGGGGTTTCTATGACTGGGTGGTAAAATTAATTTTATTTTTTGGTAAAATAACTCCAAATAACTCCAGGTTGTGGTGCATCGTAGTAGAACTCTTCTAGTTACATATGCAAAAGACAAATTTTAGGAAAGTGTCAGAGTTTGCAAATGGGGGGCGCCGCCCCCAAATGGGCGAAATGTGACCATCTAATGGCAGCCATGACGGGGTAACATTGGCCGGTTTGGAAATTAAGTTAAAATTACCATATATAAGACTCTGTAGAGTCTGAAACATAAAGAAAAAAACATTAATAGGTGTATCAAGCATAAAATATGTTATATTGGTACCTATGGTAATTTTAATTTCCAAGCCGGTCAATGTTACCCCGTCACGGCTGCCATTAGGTGGTCAAAGTAACCCCATTGGGAGGTGGCGCCCCCCATTTGCAAACTATGACACTTTCCTAAAATTTGTCTTTTGCATATGTAACTAGAAGAGTTCTACTACAATGCATCAAAACCTGGAGTTATTTTACCAAAAAATAAGAAAATTGGAGGGGGTACTCCGACAGGCTTTGAATAATAGCTCTTTTTCGTGGGTCACATTTTTAATTTTTTAACCTATTAGATATGCAAACTTTTTAAATCTTTCTATTGTGTTACATAGCCTCAGTATTAGGCCTTTGATGGCCATTGACAAAATTTTTCTATGTCAAATCGTTTTTGAGTTTTGGGGGTTTTTGTTAAAAAAACGGAAAGTGGTCAAAGTTACCCCGCCGGTCAAAGTATGCAATTTTTTAGAGATAGTAAATGTTTGATTTCTTGACAAGCTTTATACATAATAGATAGTAAAAATGTTGAAGTTTACGCCACTATTTTTAGTTATGCAATATTTTGATTAGTTTAGCTGCTACAACATTTCTACAAAATGTGGGACGCACGTCCCTATTTACCCCGCCTGTCCCTTTTTACCCCGTTTGATGGTACTAGTTTATTTGTAGGTTCCGCCATAAAAATTCCATTTATTTTCTTTTTGCAGTACTTAAAATTTAATTTGGAAGTATCCCTATCATCAATTTTAGCTGGCCAATGCAATTGCGAAAAACTTAATCACAAAGTTTGTCTGGAAAAAATGACCGTCTGGCAACCCTGTTTAAAAACAGTACAAAAAATGAAATAATAGCACAAGATGAAGCAATCGGAGTCAAAGTGTTGAATTGATTATAATATGAATTTTGAATCCAAAAAGTTAATTTAGATGACTTAAGATTCATGACATCTCATGACTCTGGTTTGTTCTAAACTATAGATTTTATCACATGGGTCTGAAGTATTCAGACCATGTTGTGTTACAGTTTTGGGATGATGGTTGTGACTTAAGGGGACGGTCTAACCTAAATTGGAGATAGCCTATAACTCCTAAAGTTATTATCCGATCATCATGAAACTTCACATTCAAACGTAAAATGGTACCGTTGAATGCGTTGAAAAGTGAGCTTTAAGATGAGCCCAAAAAGTGGAAAACGCCTAAATTGAAAATTTTAGGTTAGACGGTCCCCTTAAAATATTATCAACTCAATTTATTTCTATACATTTCAACTCCTTGTTGAATCTTATTTTTAATGGTTCACTTCTCATTTGTCTCTTCTTCATATTGCAGGATTTTCATATTAAAGTACAAGATGGCTCTCTCTTTGGCAGAATACAATGAACTAGCAGCAACACTTGAAAGCCAAGAGCTCGACGTAAGTTATCCTACTGCTTTTTGATGTACTAGAGCAATTTTGATGTATTGTTGTGTAACAACTAAATTGTCACTCAAACATCTTTGTGACCTGAAAAAATCTGTCTTGAATTTGTTACCATGCAATACACTGATTTCACATTTCATAAGTAGACTGCCAGCTTTTTATTTAGTGTAAAATATAATATAATATCAATTTCTTCTACAATTGATATATTTTTATTAACATTTTTGAGCAAATCAATGGGCTTGAAAAAACATCCATGACAATTTTATTCTATCATATTTCTTATTCTGATTACTTTGATATTTATTTTAGTTTCATGAGATTACTTTCAACTTGAGTGTACAGTTTTTACTAAAATGGACCAATTGATATCATCAGTGATCAGTCATAGTCATGTTATTTGCAGGCACCTAATGGCGTGCCTCCTGATGCCGTGTACGAGAAACTCTTAGCCATATACCTCCTTCAAAACGATGTGTGAGTAAAACAAGTCCTCGTCTCCAAGTGTTGTTTGCTATTACATTTTAAATTCTATTATTAGTTCTTGATTAAACTGTCATTCTTTTTCATAAACTATAATCAATTTTGTATTTAAACTTGTCCTATTCTTTATCTATAACTATTATTAATTCTATATGCATAGGTATATTTTTATTAGAGCTAAAAATGATTATTATTTGAATAGTTATATCATTATGTCAGGAATTTGTAGAAGTGATACTAAATTTCTTTGTTTGAAGTGAACTGCCAAGTGAGAAAAATGCGAGTGAAACTGCATTTTTAACTTAAATATTTATTGCACAAATTTTAGGCTCTAACTTGGACATAATTTCTCAATGTTCTTATGAATATTTATAATTGTTTTGTTAATCATTGCAGTATACATTAGCTTCTATTATTATAAAAGTTCAATATAAAAAACTCTTTAAGTTTTTTGACTGATGCAAGCTATAAACTTCTGATCCTTACTCCCTGATATCTCAAGAATTCATTTGAATTCAACATTTACAATACAAACATTGCACAAGTCTAAGCAACATCTCCTCATGCCAACCATGCAAAATGTCAGCCAATTTCCTATCAAACTAACCATGACCATAAGGATGTCAGCCAAGTTCCTATCATACTAACCATACAATATGTCAGCCTAGTTCCTATCAAACTAACCATACAATATGTCAGCCTAGTTCCTATCAAACTAACTATACAATATGTCAGCCAATTTCCTATCATACTAACCTCACAGGATGTCAGCCAATTTCCTATCATACTAACCACACAGGATGTCAGCCAATTTCCTATCATACTAACACACAGGATGTCAGCCAATTTCCTATCATGCTAACCATACAGGATGTCAGCCAAGTTCCTATCATGCTAACTATACAGATGTCAGCCAATATCCTATCATGCTAACTATACAGGATGTCAGCCAATTTCCTATCATACTAACCATACAATATGTCAGCCATAATCCTATCATGCTAACTATACAGGATGTCAGCCAATTTCCTATCATACTAACCACACAGGATGTCAGCCAATTCCCTATCATGCTAACTATACAGGATGACAGCCAAGATCCTATCATGCTAACTAGGTATACAGGATGTCAGCCAATTCCCTATCATACTAACCACACATGATATCAGCCAATTCCCTATCATGCTAACTATACAGGATGTCAGCCAAGTTCCTATGGAAGCGCATCCCTGCATCCGTGAAGCAGCGATGTCCGGAGCTGGAGCGATTATGGGGCGTAGGGCGCGTGCTGTTCACTCGCGACCGCGCCGCGGTCTTCGTGGTTCTCAACTCGACACAGTGGGGCCCTAATGTTGCCCCTATTATGGCTGCTCTTATTGGTACGCATCTTCTATTTATTGTAATTTTGGGGATTTTATTGGAATTTTACCTGGTAATACTTGATAAGTTTTCTTTTATTTTTAAAGTGACCGTTGATGCTGAATTGTGAAGCTCCTCAAGGTTAAGGAAAACGGGACTTGATTCTGTTTAGTGTAAATACACAAGTATGTTTCTGTGTTTATCACCAATATAAACTGAAAATTATTATTCAGTACCTATTGAAGATATTAGACCGTGATGCAAATACTAGTAATTGTAATACTGACGTAAATAATTGTTGTCATGATTATCCCCTGAATTGTTGAACCCACTCGGTGAGTCAGCCATATTTTTATTTCAAGTCAGAATAAGGTAACGCAATTTATGTACATTTCTATCAATAGTCATGCTCATACTATTAATAAGTCATGTAATTATCAATTGTTTAATACATTACTATCCTTAGTCATTTATGGTACTATCCATAGTCCTCTCCCTTGCTATCAGTATAGTTGTATACGTCAATATAACTGTCAACATAGTCATATTCATCACCATCAATATAACTGTCCATAGTCATATTCATCACCATCAATATAACTGTCCATAGTCATATTCATCACCATCAATATAACTGTCCACATATTCATATTCGTCACCATCAATATAACTGTCCATAGTCATATTCAGCACCATCAATGTAACTGTCCACATATTCATGTTCACTGTCAATATAACTGTCCATAGAGTCAAATTCGTCACCATCAATGTAACTGTCCACATAGTTATATTCATCACCATCAATATACGTAACTGTCCACTTAGTCATATTCATCACCATCAATATAACTGTCCACATATTCATATTCGTCACCATCAATATAACTGTCCATAGAGTCATATTCGTCACCATCAATATAACTGTCCACAGAGTCATATTCGTCATTATCAATATAACTTCCATAGTCATATTCGTTACCATCAATATAACTGTCCACATAATCACATTCATCACCATCAATATAACTATCCACAAAGTCATATTGGTCACTCTCAACAGAGTCGTACCGGGAGCGCACTCTGGAGCTCATCGCGTCTGCCTACACGTCTATAGGCCTGGACGACGTGAGCAAGCTGCTGGGACAGGAGCGCGAGGCAGCGCTGCAGAAGACACAGGCTTTGGGCTGGGATTTAGACGCCGCCACTCAGATGGTTATGCCTAAAGCGTTCCCTAAAGAAAAAGTACATCATATGCCTTCAGAAAAACAATTAGAAAGACTTACTGAGTATATATCATTTTTGGAGAAAGGTCTCTAGCGTGTATAATTTTTTTATATTATTTTTTGGTTAGTAGAAGGTTAAGATTGTTTTCTGACACCAGGAAAGTCGCCTGTTACGGCCTAGTTTACAACTCGTCTCCTTACGTTCTCGTCACCCTCGTGTTCGTGCTATTACTGTTGATCAAATATGAACGATCCGATAGTTTAACGTTTTAAATTCCTCAACTTTTCCCTCCACATATTTGAAGACCCGGAATGATTATCCTCCGTGCACGTATTTTGTTGAGTATTTTTAGCAACGCCCTGCATCTTGTTTCTGCTCGTTCTTCAATCGCATACTCTTCCTATTCCTTGCATAAACTTCTTAGTCGACCCATGGTAGTGAAACTATACAAGTTTCTTAGCCTGCATGCATATTTCCATATCGTTGAACAATTTAATGATCATCGAAACGGCCTGCGTCCAGTCAATTCATTGGCGGCAAATAAAAGCAAGCAGATCAAACCTATGAATTATTCGTCCTTCCCGTTTACTTGTAAAAAATTGCTACTTCGTGACATCACGTTCAGAATTATATCTGGAAGAATGCGCACTGCAAATAGATTTGATATCGAATTGAAGTTCTTGAATCATAGCAAGAACTGGCATCAACTTCATTGCAGTCCATCTATCGAGATTGTTCGGCGAAATGAATGTTGCCCAGTGATTACAGTGTAAGGGTACGCACACAGGAAGGCAGGTTGCCAGCGTGCTGGTTACCTGCTCAGGATGGCGCCTGAAACCATAGAATACAGAAGCCTATTCGTACAGGTTTTCACTGTGAACACTAACATCATTATCCTATGTTCATTCTTGTGGCAGGTTGGAGCAGGTTGCCCGCGCGGGCAAACCTGCTTTCACTGTGTGCGTACCGTACCCTTAAGAACCAAGATAGTAGCCAGTTGCTGGTTCGATGAAACGTGAATTCTGCGAAATCTGGATTTTATGACGTAAGAAATGACCTATTCAAGAATGATACTTCTTTTATCCAAGTGGTGGAACTAATTCGGAGCTGAATGAAACGGGTGTATGTAGCCTTACATCACGCTTTGCGATGTACGCTTATTGTAGCCACAACTCACAGGACGTTCAAAGTAGCTATTGGACGCAGCACTACAGTTTACGAAGGTTTACGCCTAGTAGGCTCCTGAAATGCTCCAGTGTCATTACATTTTTCTTACTCTTCCCTCTACAAAAGGCTTCATCACAAAAAAATTCTCAAATTTAGGTTTTATTGAACAATGATCTGTACAAAATATATTACGTTTGTGAATTATTTCAATCAATAAAATACGGCTCCAATTCGTGAACTACGGTCCATCTCTATTCGCAGACCAGACCTGACTACCAAAATTGGAACTAGCGTAAAAAATCGCATTCGTGTCTAACGTGTCTAGATGTTCAGGAACAACATGAAACTGCCGAAGAAATATAATGGCAAGACGAACATTTAGCAGAATGAAGCCTAATACTTGGACTTTTATATTTCGCACCAGAGCGCACCAAGCATTGGAAACTTGCCTAAAAGGATCATTTGTAGCGTGGCCATCGTCAGTGCCGTCATTCTCAGTGACCCACTTCAGAACACGTGTCACAAAAACTTCACAGAATTTCAAAGGACTTTCCATTATTTTCAGAAGACTCGTCAACAAGGAATAATATATAAGCGTCAGCTCAATAGGCACTGTTATGTTGGCGACCCAAAGGAGAACGCCGGAAACCCAACGGAGGCACCATTTTATACCATTCGCGAAACTGACAACCACGTGCTCTAGAAGTCCCTCGGTAGTTGCCGGGAGTTGTGCGGGATGTTCAACCTTACAGTTGGGACATACCGAGTACGTAGCTGGCAAATACCTAAATAGCGACGAAACGATAGACCCTTGGTATTCAAAAAGAAAAAACTTCGTATTTGTCGAGATCGCCTCGATAGCTACAATTATTTTACTGGCCAAAACGACACCCGACTCGACGCTGATAACGAAACCATACCCAATGAGAAGCAAAACCGTAAGACATGCCTGACACAAAGCAGTCAACAGCTTCACGATGTACAACCAAAAAGCCACCCCGGAGTAAACCAGGAATGCTATAACCCATCTCATGAAACTTTTTTGCTTCGGCCCTCCATTTGCAGATTCTGGATCTGGCGTCGTACCTTGCGCCTCCCCCACTTTGTCTTGCGGCGGCGCTTGTTTCCTTTCACCAACTACTCTGTTGTGGGCCGTTGAACAAACAACACAACTCACATCTTCGCAACATTGCACACAATTTTCACACCAGTCTTCACAATTAGGATTGCCACAAGCTTGCATGATTGAAGATTCTTAGGCATCAGAGACGCTACGCGATAAGTAAGGACGAACGTTTTCGTTTTGGACTCGCTCCTTGCAAATTTTGAATATGAAAAAGATGCCGATGAGGATAGTAACTAGTCCTAGACTTAGAAAAACAAACGCTGCCGTAGGGTCGCCAGCTCCTAAGGAGAGAGAAAATGTATTTTAATATTAATATGAAGAGTAGGATAATTTTCAGCAATGCGGAAAGAAAATATTTTAGCGCCTCGCAACCTAGATTAAAAGGCAATCATAATCAAGGCATGATAAATTTCTTTGAATTGCTGGTGAGTGGTGACATAACAATAATTTATGTTTCGAGTTAATTTCGACAGTTAATTCCGAAAAAAATAATTGCATTTCATGCTATTTTCGAAACGTGCTTTGACCAGAAAATCTTACCTGCCGTAACAATAGGTTCAACTTTAATTTGCTCCGTCACCGATGGGCCTGAAAATAAGAAATAATAGTAACAGGACCAAAGAAATCATTATTGCTTATGAACATTGAACGATCGTATAATTCCAAGTACATAAATTACAATATATGCTTTCAATTGTGTTACCTCCTGTCGAGGGTTCGGAGCTTACGACAGCTTGTGAAGTTCTGGTCAGGAATTGCTGAGTAGTGACAACGGATGATGGCAATCCTGTTACCGCCTCTGTAGACTTCACGATGGAAGTGACGGGAGTTGTAGAATTGGAAGTGGCAGTAGTGGAATGGGTAGTCGGGGTGGTAGGCGTGGTGGAATGGGTAGTCGGGGTGGTAGGCGTGGTGGAATGGGTACCGGTAGTCGGGGTGGTAGGCGTGGTGGAATGGGTAGTCGGGGTGGTAGGCGTGGTGGAATGGGTAGTCGTGGTGGTAGGCGTGGTGGAATGGGTAGTCGTGGTGGTAGGCGTGGTGGAATGGGTAGTCGTGGTGGTAGGCGTGGTGGAATGGGTAGTCGGGAAGGTAGCCGGGGTGGTAGGCGTGGTGGAATTCGCGGAAGGTTTATTCGTCGTTATTTGCGCAGAACCAGCTCGTTCAACATCTGACTTATTAATCCTCAGAGCCGGAGATTCAGTATTCAAAAAAGTTTCGCCGGGGGAAAGTGAAGCTTCACTGTCGTCTGTCAGACTAGAACCTGGTCGAGCATCTGAAGGCCTAAATGTGAAACCCGCTACCGGTGGTACGCTAAAAGTGTTGTTCGGTAAGGACGCCACTCTGACATTAACGAAAGGTACTGGAGTTGGTAACTGAACGCCTGCTGGAGTAACCAGTTTTCGCTGATTTGGAAGAACATTACGGAGTAAATTTGAACTCAAGTGAGCTGGGTCGGGGGAAAACGTATATTCTTTGTAACGACGTATTGTATCAAGCACTCCATTTGAATCTTCAGAGTTACCAGAAATATTTTTATTGCCTTCGATCTGACCAGAATTATGATAAATTCCAAGTCGATCAACCGGTGTTATAGAATTTGATGTGGTACCGACAGTGGTGGTTGTAATGGGTGTAGTCCTAAGAAAATTTTCGAATGAAAATTTCGTATAACTCTTGCTCTCCTTAATAAAAGCAAGATTTTTCTCTGGTATTTGAGACTTCGGTATGTTTCTATCGGCAGACCGCCACGACCGATCGTCTTGTGAAGATCTTGCTTGCGACCGAAACGACAAAATCTTCACTTCTTCTGGAGTACGACTTTCAATGAGCTTCACCTTGCGGCCGAATGAATCTTTATGAAACGCGTTTGCTAGCAGTGGATGATTCTTGTTCAAATGGTTTAGCGTAATTGATCTTTTCCTTGGAATCGTATGGCTCTCCTCCCAGCGACCATTCAAGTTATGCCGGTCGCCTTCACTCGCTCTTTCTAGATCAACTACGAAATTTACTGGTGATCCCAGGTGCTCTGATATTTCAATTTTAGGGGAGATGACAGATGAACCTGAGGATAATGGAGATCATAAATTCCAAGCACGCTTGGTATTAACTCTGGTATGCTTCAATCGTACTAACCTAAACGGTCCGCCAACAGAATAACTCAACGCCACAATTGGAGATCCCAGCACATTCTTACGTTATCGCAATTGTTATGATCCAAGTAGCGAGATCAACATTTTATAAATAAGTGAAGGTGCACAAGATAATAACTAGTTCGGTATAATGATTACCGTCTATTACGTTACGTAACACGTTCGTTACTCCAGTCTTTTACTTAAAGAATGATCACGAAGTTCCTGCTATTCGATAAATACTGTTTAATACAAAAGCAAGTACCCAAACGGCATCGCTGTCAACGAAGCTGTTGAGCATGATTTACAAGACATTTAAATTGCCGAACATTTCTTATACAATTCAAAAAATAAAAACTGCGCCCCTAGGTTTCCCTATCGAAATTCATCTTGCCAATTTGGTTTCATATAATCAACGATATACATTCTACGTTCCAAAATTAGTTCGATTTAGGAAACTAATTTGATTTCAAACGGTTAGGACGATAGAACAAGAAATTCAGGAAGAAATTTTGAATACTAACGTTAGTTCGAGAAAAGTTTTAACAACTTATTCTAACAGAAGACCAATTGCTTGCCTGATACTGCGTGGACAAATGAGCCGAGCGCTACCAGCAACAGAAGAGACAAAGGAAGCTGGTGTCCAAGCGAGGTCGTCTTCCACTTGCGAATAGAATAAAATCTCGAAGCCGACCAAGTTGCAGTAGTAATGTCCATCTTATCAGACCAACGCGCCTATTTGGAGACCACAGTTTATTGTAGCACATGCACACGTCATATCGTTCGTGCTTGATGGATGGACCAGTTAATTAGATCATTAAAGTAGCTGCACCGACAAACTCCTTCACGAGAGAATTACAGATGTCAAAGGGCTGCGGAAGTTTTGCGAACGACGAGCTGCTTCACGATTCAGAGTTAACAGGTTGGGATGAATTGTACTTCTCGTGCGAATAGCGCAAATATGCAATTTTATGCGTAGATGAACATTCAATGACTACGATTTTGTAGGAATTAATCCTATAGAAATAGGACGTCCTATACAACCATATTTACACTATGGAAAACCTGCCAATGTTGAATGGTTCTATTGTCCTGAAGGCGACATGAACTTAAAGTGACATCTTATCAAAATAAAGCATCCAAATTGAAATGGAGATTTTCACTTTATCAAAGAACTGTAATGAATATTGGGCAGAAACGTAATTATCCCCAAGAAAAGACAAAAAAAAACACGAAAATTCAGAATTAAATTATGATATAACCGAATTAAATGCGAAATGTAAAAAATTATTTGTGTATCAGCAACTACTGAAAACATGTCCCATTTTTTAAACATTCTTATTCGTCGTCAATCCTCAAGCTTTAATTTGAATTAAGGAAAAACCACTCAAACAAACACTTTTAACGTTTGGAAACTTTTAATAATCAGCACCGAAAACTGGCAATTTTCACGTAGCTCGCATGGCGAAAGATGATCATGATTATCAACTCATGACGCTCTGTGAGCATTAAAAATAGATAGATAGATGAATTTTCAGGCTCATAGTTTGTTCTATGAGCAAAAATGAAGGAACGACCGCTGAAGTTTCAGGCTCATAGTTCGTTCAATGAGCAAAAACAATTGAACGACCTCTGATTTTTCATGCTTAAAGTTCGTTCCATGAGCAAAAATGATAGATCGACCTGTATATTTTTAGGCTCATAGTTCGTTCTATGAGCACAAATAGTGCAACGATCATCTGCTCATATATCTTACACGCTAGAGACGCTAGAGTATCTGGCGGGTCCGACGAGATGCATGATTTGGGACTGGACGACCGAAGTGAAATGAAGTATTATTTATCTTCTTTGAAAATTTACCAAATAAATTGTTTGTTATTAATTGTTAATTAACTACTGCCTCATTTTACAACACTTCTCTTTAACTTCACTTCTTGTTTGTCTGTCTGTCTGTATGCTACAAATCTTATAATCGAAATTTAACATGCACACTTCTATTTATCCCATCGATCTGAAATATTGCACACTTGCGTAAAGATGGAGACAATGCATGAATCAAATGACAAAATAAAAAATTTTATAAATAATTTTTTTTTTCAATATTAAAAAAACTGAAAAAATAATTTTGTCTGCTACAAATCTTATAATCAATATTTAACACACTTCTAGCTGTCCAATCTATCTGAAATTTTGCAGACTTGCGTAAAATCGGAGACAATGCATGAATCAATTGAAAGAATAAATAATTTTGAAAATTTAATTTCTTTTATGTACTAAAATAATTAAAAATTATTTTTTTAATATTCGAAATTAAAATTAGAAATTCATTGTACGTGTTTACATTGGAGACACTGGATTTTTTTAGAAGTGTTGTCTTTAAAAGTTAAAAAATTAATTTTTAATGGTATATTTTAATGGCTCATATTTTATCAGTTTATTATTCTAAACCAAAAATAGCAAGCAATATGTCACCAGTATAAAAGTTGCCTTGCTAAATTCGTTAATTTGAAACCCCCAATGTATTATATATATATATATATTATATATAGATATATGTCTTCTTAACAAAATTCTTCCTCGGTCTGTACAAGAAAAGCGCTCCAGTTAGGCAGATCCACTCCACCGCGCCACTAACGCTGTAACATCGTCGATTAATTGCTGGTTGATTACGTCGTAATGTCTTTAATGACGTTGAGTCGACGTCTAATGATTGCTGGAACTCAATTTTAATGAATAATGATTGGCAATGTCATTCGAAAAGATGCATTTTAACAGCGGCAAATCAAAAGAACGGAAATACTTCTGCTATAATTTTCCATAAAAACTTCACGCTAACAAATTATAGGCTGGCAATGGTGATGTTATTCGCTGTTTTCCTGCTGCATTTTATTCCATGAACACTTGACACGTCGATAGTAAATTATTGCCTAACACTATGATTAAAAATATTTAGCTATTTTCGTGTTTCTAAAAAATTTTCATCCCCACTAACACTAGTGCTGGATGTGTACTTCCACGCTTTATAAATCGCATAACATGGAAACGGAAAGCTTAAAATATTGACGTCGTTAAAAATTATAAAAAGTTCATCGATATTGTGGTGGGAAGTGAGGTGCTATAGACATTTAATCAAATGTAAAATGAGAGTTCAATTCAAATAATTACCCTTTTTAGGCATTAATTGAAGTTATCGTGACCCAAAATGAAATAAGTGAAAAAAAACAGTCACCCTTTCAGAATTAAAAACAATTTTCAGATTTGTTTCAGACCCGTGTAATCAAAGTTAAACTTGTAAGAAAAGCAGACTGGGTTACCAGTTTTTCCCGGTGCATTTTTGTGGTCGTTCCTGAGTGACGGATAAATGATCGTTATACGTGAACGTTTGTATGAGGGAAATAGTTGATTGATTGGCGAATAGTTGACGAATAATTGATCGATTGCGTCGAATAATTGATCGTTTGCAGGAGGCGAATAGTCGATCGTATATATATGGCGAATCATGGGCACGTGGCGAATAAGTGATCACTCGCATGTGGCGAATCATTGATCGTATGTGTATGGCAAATAATTAATCGTGTGCATGTGGCGAATAGGAGATCGCACACACGTGGCGAATAAGTGATCGCTTACCCGTGACGAATAATTAATCGTATGTTTATGGCGAATCATTAATCGTGTGAATGTGGCGAATAAGTGATCGGCTGCATGAGGCGAACAAGTGATTGATCGCATGTGGCGAATAAGTGATCGTTTTCTTGTGACGAAAATATAACCTGTATGATTGATATAGCCTGCATGTGATTGATCGTTTGCATCTGGTGAATATCGTATGTATGTCGTGTATCTGAGGCTCCGCTAATTTTATTTATAGAGACCCAATCTACATGCGGTGGACGACGTCTCAGTTGCCCATCCTTTGGTGCGGAATTAAGATTCGATGTCACCATCAAAATGAGGGCACCATCACATGGGGGCAAAAAGTGCTCTTTTCTTTACATGAATTTAGAACACGTTTTAAAAATCAGTATAGCACATCCAATCATTTTAATCAACGTGGAAACTATTTAGCCCTCTTTTCGATCAATATTTAGGTAATGCTTTTAGATGAAAATTTATTCTATGTTTTATCTATCCGAAAATCAGTCTACGGCCTTCTACAAAAAAAAAATCCGAGCTGAGAATTAGACTTTCCTCAGTCGGACTCACAGAGCATTAATTATTGTTAGAAGAAATGCAGTAATGATGGTTTGGTCAATGTATTTATACTCGTTCGATGTTTTATGAAAATTTGTGACAAATTCTGCATATACGAAACACATAACGGCATATCATTTTCTGGATTAATAACAACAGGTTTGCCTCAAATGTAAATTTTTTTCAATTGAAAAGATGTGATTAAGTAGACGTAAAAACATTAGAAAAATTCAATTTTCACCAGAAAATACGTCAATTAAGCTTATGTTGATTGATTCACATCTGCAAATGGACACGATCGCGTTCAATGCCAGTTTTTATTACAACACTTCTCTTTAACATCACTTCTTGTTTGTCATCTGAAAATTTGCACACTTGCGTAAGGTTGGAAACAATGCATGAATCAAATGATAAAATAAATTATTTTAAAAATTAATTTTTTTCAATATTAAAAAAAATTGAAAAAAAAATTTGTCAGCTACAAATCTTATAACTGATATTTGACACACTTTTACCTGTAAAATTGATCTGAAATTTTGCACACTTGTATGAAGTCGGAGGCAATGCATGAATCAATTGACAGAATAAATAATTTTGAAACAAAATTTTATAAATGTAAAAAATTGAAAAATTAATTTTTTTATTATTCGAAAATAAAATGATAAATTCATGGTACATCTGTAATATTGGAGACACTGGATTCTTTAGAAGTGTTGTCTTTAAAAAGTAATTTTTAAACGTATATTATTCAAGTTATTACTGCTATTTTCCTTCAGGAAGTTAAAATAGTCTTGAAACTTAACTACAAATCTAATTAAATAAAAAAATATACAAACCAGCATGAGTTTGACATAGACGATGAGTAAGAGTTAAAGCAAGACCGTATGGCAAACGAAGCTTTCACAAATTACTAAAATGACAAAAAGGTTAGATACCCAATGCTCGTCTATCAATTCTTGGAGCAGAGTTTGGCTCATTGTCCTTAGTGCCTTAATTATCTTACTAAAATAATGCAGAAGTTGATTGGCCTAACGACCGGTGAAATAGAAAGGTACAAATGCCGTCTCAATATTGTAGTGTCTAAAGCATACACAAACTAAAACATAAATTTCCTATATTTAAAAGTGTTGGAAGTATGCACAATCTATCCTTCAGTATCATTTACATAATACACTTAGTTTCAGAACTAAAGATGCAAAGATGTTTGCATACATTTTAGCCCTCAAGTACAAGAACCTCGAGCAATTCATGTACAGCAAATTCTTCATGTATTCTATTTTGCTTTTGATAGCTAAATTCTTCAGCATTTTCTATCCTTTTTTCTTTTGTTATGCAACGTTTATATTTCCGTAAGGAAAATATGCTGCGTATAACTAGATATCAGTAGATTTTTAATTTCCTGACAAAATACTCGAATTTTGTGGAAAAAACTATTCGTTCCTCTTATTATATTTTTACGAATGAAATCTGAATATTTTTTGTGTTGTCATTCCTATCTGCTGACAATTCGTGTGCGGCGACTTAAATTTGTTCAGTTCCCCCACAAGACGAAACTCCAATAAATCAAATTGAAGATCACCAGCACAACTAAGATGATGACGCGCGCACTTAAGATTAAGGCCTGACTTAGCGTTCGTTCATGTGCGCTCACTGCAAATTCTTCGACCGGTATCTTCTTGTGGACG